ACGACCTGCACGAGCACCTGCAGCAGCAGAAGCAGTAGCAGCAGCAGTAGTAGAATCAGCTGCAACTGGTAGCAGAATCAGCTGCTGCTTGCAAGTTGTAAGGGGGGAAAAAACAGGCAAGAAAAAAAGAAGCAGCAGCACAAATGATGTTACACGCAAAAACACACACACACACACATTGTGTATAGCGAGCATGATAATACACGATGTGTGCGTAAAGTCGAGCACTTTTCTCAGCGGTGTCGCTTACTCTGGGCAACGGCGCGGCGAGTTCTTATCCATCAGTTAAATGCATCTGTTAAAACTCCTGATGATTCGGTGAAACTTCCGTGAAAGTGCAACGGGACAGTCTGGCACAGTCATGCTCTCTTTGTGGAGTTGTGTATATCAAGGTGAGAACACACACACACACACACACACACACACACACACACACACACACGACAAAAAAACACACACACACAAACACCCTCTACACGCACACGCACTTGTCTGCCATCAAAGAATCCAAGGTTCAGCTGTTTCCTTTTGTAGGTTCAGCTGTTTCTTTTTGTTTTTTCACCCAAAATAAGCACATGCCCCTTCTATTCTTGGGGGCGACCGTCCGGGTACTAGTCCCAAGCAAGCATGAACAAATGTTGCAAATAAGAAGGGGAGCAGCTCTGCCCTGGTACTAGCCGCCTCGGGCGGTAAGCTATTGTTATAATGCAGGGGGTGGCAGCCAGACTTTCGTTCGCTTGGACCCCTCTACCCGGGAGACACTCAGCGTAACCAGACGCCGCTCAGGGGGGTCCAAACCGCGATCGTCCACTCCTTCTGCACTGTAGCAATGCTCCTGCTGCTCAACTACTGGCGCTTCCAATGCTGTGGCCGCATCAATTCTCCACAGTTGCCCAAGTACAGCTGTTTCAATTTTGGAGCTAGGTATGCTGTCTGCTATCGAAGAATAGGAAGAAGGGCCCTCGCTGCACTACTCTTGAATCTTGAGAAATCAAGAGTTCACAACCGCTGCACTAACTCTTGATGCCACGTCCTGAATTTCCATTCAAGAGCTGTCAGATGCACTCTCGAAAACGCCGAGAGTGACTCATCGATCGGTGCACTAACTGTGGAAAAGTGCTCTTGGTCCAGTCCTTCAAGAGGTGTCAGAAACGGCACATCGGACGAGCTCTTGAAGATTCCACAGTTCTCGCCAGGAGGGGCGTTTTTTCCAAACGAGGCCGACCGGACACTTCGTGCGATTTGCAAATTCGAGAGTTGGCGTCCAGTCTCGGTGGACAAATCGTTGCTGCCCTGTCGTGTAGTGTCTTTTCATTTTCCCTATCTTCTGTCCGACAGTCGAGAATGCTCACGAGAGTCGAGAGTCCGGAGTAAGTGCAGCGACGACAGCACTTGATGCCAATCCAGGAGTCTGACAGCGCTAGACGTACACTTGAATTTTTTCATGTGTCTAGTGTAGTGCGGCGAGGCCCAAGGTTTAGCTGCTTCAATTTTGGATGTACTTGTGTGACGAGAAAAGACATTGCTCTGATGACCAACAACTTCCATCATCATCATCATCACCATACAGCGCACATCATCATCCTCATCATGCAGCACACATCGTCATCATCATCATCATCATCATCATCATCATCATCATCATCATCATCATGCGGCACATCATCATCATCATCATCTTCCAGCACACATCATCATCATCACCATCATCATCGTAAAGGAACACATATCATCAACTTCATCACCATGATCACACAGCGGTGACAGCACACATCATCGTGTCACTATACAGCTCACATCATCATCATCATCAGGCAGCACACATCCAACGCCATCACCCTGTAGCACACATCATCAGCATCATCATGCAGCACACGTCTTCATCATCATGCACCAGGCAGCACACGACATTATCATCATCACCATCATTGTCATCATCATCACCATCATCATGAAGACACACGTCTATGTTGCCAACGGCGCAGTTAACGTTGAATGGTTGTTGCCTTCGGCCATCGAACGTGGACTGCGCCTTCCATACTGTTCGACCAGGGGAGGTGAACGCGCCGAGCTCCCACCCAACAAACCGAAGAAACAAAAAAGACAATAAAAGGGGAGGGGGAATACACCTGCTAGCATGTGTGATGTTGAGCAAGATTTACCTGAGACACATGTCCAAATGCTGCACACGTTGTGACCTAAAAAATAAAAACCGTACAGTGCGCGCCGTGCACATCTATATCTATATCTATAGATTCTATACTCTTATTAAAGACTAACCCGGGTCTCATGTGTACACAAGATTGTCTATAATGATTCTATATGTATATCTATACTGTAACTAAAGACTAGGTTGTGTGCCGCCCAATGATGATGTGACTAACCCGGGTCTCGCGTGTGTGGGCCCTCGCTCCTTTTCCCTCTTGGGCCCGGGCCGCTGTGCGGGCCGCACTGCTGCAGGGAGAAGTCCCCGTCAATTCTTTTTTGTGCCGTGCATTCCTAGTGTAGAGGTTTTGCGCTGCTCCTCGCTTTTGTGAGGTGCCTGTCATTTCTGTTTGCCGGTTTTGTCGTGTTGCAAGCTGCAGGGCTACGCTTCGCTCATCATGTTCGAATACACTACATAGCCAAGTGGAAGAAGCCGCAGGAGCTCAGATTCTGGCCCTCAGTCTGCACTGCTATCCACATCACAAACGACAGAAAATAAGGCGGTGTATCTTCCAATGTTCTAGCAGAAGATCCATCCTCACTTTGCATATTGTAGTGTTCATACTGGCACTTTGGACGGCCTGGCTCCACTACACACCCCATGCACAAAGACGAAAAATATTGCTGTGTATCATCCCATGTTCTAGGGGAAGATTCATTCTCACTTTGGGGATTTGGTGAGTTGTGTAGCAAGGCACACTGCCCCTTTCGACAAGCTCACTCCCACTACTCGTCAAATGCACAAAATGAAAATGAATCTTTGGCTAGCATCCAAAGATACCCTGCCATACTTTTTTTTTCTTTGTGTGCACGTGGTGGGTATTGCAGGGAGGCCCTATGCTCTGAATAGACAAAACTTAGGCATGGCCCCTTCTCCAGGTTTCCTCCGCTCTGTGCTAATCTATCGGAGCGGCAGGACGTATGTAGGAAAGAGGGGCTTAGGCTTGGTTGCCGCCTGATCTGAAGATCTTGTGGCCCCATTCTGCCTATGTTGAGAAATGCCCGAAAGGAAGAGTTTTTTTTTTTTTTTTTTTTGAGTGAAAGCCTTGGGTGACTAGTAGAGGGGGCCGCTGGACGGACTTAGCCCCATGTTTGCCCTTAAACCACCAGTACTCGGCCCAGCTATTGATGCCGAACCGGGAAACGCCCTGCGCGCCAAGTTTGGCCGAGCCGCCGCCACGTCGTTTCACTTTTCTTTTGGTTGGCGCCTCCAGCCATTGTGGTCCGGTAGACTAAAGCCAATCAGTCGCGGCGTGTTAACGGGAAACGCCCGTGGCCGATGTATGGGCCAAGTACTGGTGGTTTAATAGCCGTCAGGGCTCGTTTCTTTTTTTGGAGGGGTGGCATTGTTTTTTTTTCTTTTTTGGGTAGCAGGGTGGGGGTGGGTGGGGGGGAGAATTTGTGCCAACACCCATGTACGGAAGATGCACGACTGGTATCTTTAACGGTTCGTCGATGCACCATTCGGCCATATGGGCTGGCCTTCTTTTTCCGGGGACCGGCATCGTTTTTTTTTTTTTGGTGGGGACCTTCGTACCATATCACCCACGCTGCATAGTGCCGCTTGCCAGTACAACCTGATGGGACTCGGAAAGATGGACCGCCCAACATGGCGGTCCACCGAATGCCACTCGGTCTGCTTGATACTGCGTGGCCGTGCGGAGAAATGAGTTGTCCCTGATGTTCACAATGTTCTGTTTCTTTTTTCCCCCTCATGATTCCAACTGCGTCTGAGGCGGGCATCTGCTTGTTGTTCTAAAGAATCTAGTAAAGACTCGTGTATAGATAGATGTATGGATAAATCTACGCATTTGTAGATTGATCTGAACGTATATAGAGATATGTCGACTGTGGATGTATGGGTTGGGGAAGAGAGTGCAATCCTTTTTCGGGGGGGAGAGTATGTGGGTATGCAGGAGGGTGTGATTGGTTGGGTGTGGGGGTATGGGGGGTTGTCGTGTGTTGGACTATGGCGGTACGAGGGTGTGGTATCCAGGTGTTGGCGGTGTGGAGTATCTTTGATGTGGGGGTATAGGTTTGTGGGGGCGTCGTGTATGGGGTTATGGTGGGTGTGGGGGTATGGAGGTGTCGGCAGTGGGAGGGTGCTTTGTCTGAAACTGTTTAAAAGGGGGAGGGTGTGCTATAAATAAGGTGGGGTAGGGCCACTTTGTTTTGCCCTGGTTCGAGGGCCCACTGTGCCGCCCGTTGGGCCCGCGAGGTGCACTCCATGATTTCGCTGTGTGCGGGGGAGTTCTACCATTGAACGCTTTTGAACTTTGGACTCTTTCGGAGTTAAATGCGTTCGAGGAGTCAAGCTAGCACATAGGCACACATCATCATCATCATCATCATCATGCAGCATGCATCTTCACCATCATCACACAGCAGTTGACATAGGATTTGCAGGTATATAATTGTCAGGATGTCCCACTTCGAAAGATGTTGTGGCCAAGGAAAGGTACTCCTTTCGACACATGGGTAATATGGGTTTTGTCCATACTCAGTGTTAATTGGAGTTTGTCTCTAAGGAACGATTCCAATTCAGACCTCAGTTTCACTGCTTCTGATAGTGGACCAGAGATTGCTACGATAAAATCATCTGTGAAACATCATCATGAGCACATCAACATGATCAGGATACCCATAAAAAAAAAAAAAAAAAAAAAAAACATGAATGGGGAAAGCAGCGCCTTTACAACATTAGCACAAACAGTTATAACTCATAAGGAGAAGCGCAAATAAAGAATGACAAGATGCAGCACACCTTATCGCAGAATGAAGCAAAACAATTGTTTTATGCATGCAGCAATTTGTTGAGTCCTCCCAAACTCCATCTCTCTAATCATCCTCATCCCTTGCCAGTGTATCATTGAAGGCGTCATCATCTCCAGCCTCACCAACCCTTCGAACACGATCCTCCCCTGCATAAGTGCTACCAGATACCTCGTCAGAGGTATCACCATCATCATCATCATCATCATCATCATCACCATCACTGTCCAGCGCACTAGAAGAGTGTTTTGGTCGCTTCCCACCAGCGGCTCGCAATCAGGCACCACCCCCATGAGTTGCCTCCCAAGGGCAACCTCTCCATGAACAGGTCTGCATATCATCATCCTCGATCCATGATCTCATTGCACAAGACTGTTGTCGTAGCCGTCGGCCTTTGCCTCCCAATCGTGGGCGGCCATGAGGTCGACTGCGACCATCTTCCTGAGGTCTAGCAACTATGTCCGTACCAGCGTTATCCTCTCTCTCTCTCTCTCCTCTCTGTGCGAGCGGGACTCGTCGTGACGTTGTCCATGATCGTCGAGGGTCATCATGGAAGAAGTCGGGCCATGCCCAGTGGACTGCTCACAGGTGCCTGGGTCCTCAACGACGAGTTCTGCCTTTGAGGCTTGACATGACTGGAAGCCTCATCTATCCCTTCCCCCCTTGTCCATCCTCTCCTCCAACATGGCACCTGCCTGATTATGCACCACACTCTCCTCCATCCTCTCATCCACCCTCTCGCACATGATGTCCGCTCTCCTCTGGTCCACCGTATACTCCACACGCATGCCCACCCTAACATCCACCCTCTGCTCTACTCTGCACTCCACACACGAATGCACACTTTGCTCTGCCCTGTGCTTCCCCCTCGCCTCCACACCCTCTGCTCCACCATGGGCTCCACTCTCTCCCCCCAATCTATGCTCAACACTCTTCCCAACCCTCTGCTCCACCCTCTGCTCCAACACCAGTTGTATACCCTCCTCTACCCTCTACCCTCTACCCTCTACTCGACTCTAGTCCACCGTTTTGGACCACCCTGTGTATGACCCGAGGACTGTCCACAACCTGCTCGACCAACTGCCACAAACCCTCCATCTGCCACCCCTATCTGCCATGCTGACGCGTAAACCTCCTTGTAGAAACGCTCGTTATCCACCTCCCTGTCTCTAGGCCGCATCTCCTTGTGCCCATCCTCCCTCTCCGGCGAGCTCCTAACACTGTAGAAGATGCCCTCCAAATACATATTGAAGCTAGGGTCAAGCATCGCTCACCGGTTGAAGATGTCATAGTAATCCTCCGCAAGCGTTTTTCTCTTGTCCCTCTCTATCTCCCAGTGTAATCTGTACTAATCCCGCCAAGGGGCCACTCTTGGTGCAACCGGCGCGTTAGGCAGTGCAGACGTGATCCGATCTCTACCGTCCTTATGACGGTTAGCCCTGGCCACCACCTCCCTCTCCTCTATGTCCACATTATCAGACACGGCATCCGGCTCGCATCCCTACCAAGCCTCCTCAAAAGGATCCTCCCCCATATGCGGCCCCTCACTACTCTATCGACTCTCCCTCCTCCAGCTGGTGCTGAGAAGCTGGACGTTCCCGGGAGTGAACACGAGTTTCTCCAAACGCAGCAGGTCAGACGCTGTTGCGCCTCTTCCGAAGCGGTTTGAAGTCATGCGTTGCCCAGTTATGCTCGTAGGGAGTAACAGTGGACCACATGCCAAGCACCCACTTCACTATAGGCGGCTGCCTCCCACTCCCCGACGTCCACATTGCAGAGCACGGCACCCGGCTCTCTTGTTGCCCCAGCCTCCTCAAGGGGATTCTCCTCCATATCAGCTCACACATTAATGTACCGACTCTCCCCCCTTTCCATGAAGCACCCACCGCTGGATCCGTTATCTTCGCAGGAATTATCTTTAAATTGGGAACGTATCTAAAAGCTACCAGAGTGGCCCGGGACCACTTGCCCGGCCGGAAAAAAATAATTCAAAAAAAAAAAATTGATGCGACCCTGAGGCAAAAAGTTGTTCAACTTATTTTTCTGCATAACAAATGATAACATAGGTTTTTCTTGGATTTTTATTAATATTATTATTTTATTTTTTTTGCTGGGACGTTCTCTGGTCCTTGCATGGCCAGGCCGCCCAGGAAAACAGGGTGACCCGGGCGGCCCGGCTGATAGCCTAGGAACTTACGTTGTTGTTTTTTTTCCAATACCCAGAAGCTACTCTTTCTGTTACGGAAAGAAAGAAAGAAAGAAAGAAAGAAAGAAAGAAAGAAAGAAAGAAAGCGGCAAGACACTCACTTTGCGTCTGCTGTCAATTCTAATTTGCTGGATTGATCGATGCTGAGGCTTTCTTTTACGTATGTATTGTATGGTCAGTCTTCTGGGCGACGGCGACACTACCAAATGAATTGCGCCTTTGCACTGTTTGTTCTCTCAGGCGCGATAGCGAAGGAGACGCTGCAGTAGTCCGCAGCGAGATGGACACGACTTGATTGTTAGTTGAAGAAGGAAGAAGTGTATCCAGTACTATCCACTGTAACGAGCTCAGAGAGGGATGACTTGATGATAAGAAGGGCATAGAGCTGGCCAATATCAGTTTTTCTGCTGCGGTTGGGGTTAAGCCTGGCCGGAGAGCCCGGCTCCTTCCCTCAGGCCGTGGCTAATGATGTGGGGGACGCTGGGCCCGTTTCCCAGCAAAAAAAAGAAGGTATATATATATATATATATCGTCACAAATAGAACTGCCCGGTAAACCGTAGGCAGAGAGAGAGAAGAGGACAACAAACGAGGGGCTGTGACAAACTGTTTCGTCGGAGTGGCTCAAAAAGAGACTTGGGAAGCGGCAAGCGCCAGTTTCAAAAACAGCCATTTTCGGCCACCACCATGCATTCAGGCAGAACTGCTGAGCCGTTTCTTTTTTTTTTTTTGGTTTCTTTTTTTTTTAACTGCCGAGACATTTCATACTTTGCCCGCTGGAATGCACTGCCTCTGCCACCTCCCGAACCAAACTATGCCAGCCGAAACACTAAATTTGGCTACTTCACCTGAGATCTAGATTCTCGAGACGTTTTGAGATCCGTTCAATTCTCTGAAAAATGGTCACACATCAGATGCGTACACATGTATAGGCGACACCACAGCAGACATGGACACAATTTAGAAACCTCAGCACTGTGGACTTTCCACAGTTGTTTGAGGTGCCCATATCAAAGGATAGACATGCAAAACATCCGTATAGCCATATCAGGAGCCAAGATTCACATCGCAGGCGCTCGTCCTGTCTCTGTAAGACAGCAAGCAAAGATGATGCATTCCTCCAGAGTCCAAACCCAATTCCAACAAGCAGGACCCTTGCATGTTTCACATCCTTCCACCAATGGATGATGCATCGAACATCTGTTGACCAGCACGTGCATGATCTTCTCCCATGACACTAAAATCACCTCAATTTTCTTTTTTTTCTATTTTTTCTTTTTTTTCTTTTTTTTCTTTTTTTTCTTTTTTTTCTTTTTTTTCTTTTTTTATTTGGACCATTTCTCGATTTATGCATGCCATCCTTGCGCAGGGGTCATGCTAATCTTCTCTGTATCATTCAAATTTTAACGGATGTCCCGAAGGACAAATCACCTCAAATTTCCATCCCTCTCAAATCCTTTCTCATGCGATGTCACTACATGATTACAAGACGAAGAACAATGCAACACTACCACAGCGTGCACAGATCGGCCACCACTAGGCCCAGAAGTGAGCACTATGCTCGCGACATCACAAAGCTACAAACACAGACTAGAAGTGAAAGCAGTGCTCTTCAGGCTCAGGCCAACAGCCAACGACATTGCTTAGACAAGCGTTATCAGTCCTCAGACGATAGCAACATAGCTCGGCCGCTTGGAGAAGCCATCATTCCTATTACCCGGCATCCGTGATGCTCAGGGGTTCGTTCCAGCCATCCTATTCCTTCGGACAGCAGATGATTTTCAATGAAATGTGAAACTTGTTGCTTCGTTGTTTGCCCCCTCTGGCAATAAGTGTATGTGCCCGACGTTAAGCTAGCTACTCAGCCAGCCTAGCCAATCCGCTAATCAAAACTCACATGTGTCGTCGGGCCACATCAACCTCAACCTTTTATCATCGTTTCCCCTCTTTACTCCCCTGTGTTCCACCCAGCCAAGAGCACTGTCAGGAGCACACAAGCACCTGTGAGGCTGCACATTAGCTGATGATGCATAGTGATCATCCTAAGTTAGCAAAGCATACCAGCAAGCGGACCAGCCAGGCCGAGCGCTCCACAACACAAGGAAGCAGGGATATCTGTTTTTCCACACCTCTCCCATTGAGGTCTACCAACCTTGGCTGCGCCCGAAACGCATAAGGAAATTACACGTCCAAACACACGTTTACAGCTACAGGTGCTGGACTGGCTCACTCTATAGGTTATGCAAGGCTCACACACGGCTCCCGAGCTCGGCGTCCTCCTCCAACAACGGCACACAGAAAAGCTGCAAGGGACCATGCTACAGTCAGTATCAGCTTCATTGCTGGTAAGTAACACAGCACTCAGAAGCATGCACCATCTCTCTCTCTCTCTCTCTCTCTCTCTCTCTCTCTCTCTCTCTCTCTCTCTCTCTCTCTCTGTCTCATATGTGCACGCGCGCATCGCCTCACACACAGCGAGCACAATTTCTCTCTCTCTCTCTCTCTCTCTCATGGGTGCGCGTGCGCAGCGCCTCACACACAGCGTGCACGTGCTCCCTCGACGCCCCCGCTTTCCAGGCACCGGCTCACATACCCACCAGGCCACCGCCGCTGTGCTCATCGGCAGCGCACGAACAAACTCACACACGTCGTCGGTCCCCCACCTCCTCTTCGGTCCCCCCCCCCTTGCCCGATGTGACACCCGTGCGTGCTGCCGGCCTCCCCAACCGACACCGCTGTTTCCAACTGACACGCCCTCCTTGGTCCCCTGCGGCACCGCGCGCGGACCCCCCAGCCCGACGCCGCCGTTCGCAACCGGCGCGCCCTCCTCGGTCCCCTGCGGCACCGCGCGCGGACCCCCCAGCCCGACGCCGCTGTTTCCAACCGACGCGCCCTCCCCGGTCCCCTGCGGCACCGCACGCGGACCCCCCAGGCCGATTTTCGCTGGGCCCACTGGGAGCGTCACGCGTGGACCGCTTCTTCCTCTAAGGTATATAAGAGAAGAAAAAGATGTTGGTGGAGATGATAGGGGACGGAGATGCTGGCGAGGAGTGACATTGTGCTCATCTTCTTCATCTTCTTCTTCTTCTTCTTCTTCTTCCTCCTCCTCCTTTCTACATTCTTCTTCCTTTTGCCTCTGTCTCTTTCCAAACTCTATCATTTCAGTTGCAATTGAACGGCATTGTCTCTTTTCGAAGGTATTCAGGGGCTTTCTTCTTGGTAGGCAGAAGTGCTGAGTAGGACTGGGTAAGTAGTCTCCCGCTGCTCGGAAAAGCCGTCTTCTGTTTCACTATGATTGTTTGGGCTCTGATTATTTGCCTTTTTTTTTTACTTGCCGACATTGCCAGTGATAAGTAACCGGAATTGGTGCCCCCCAGAATATAAAGGGGTTGAGTCTTCTGTTAAAAAAAAAAGAAAAAAAGATGCCAGGATCATAAGATTCATAACACTTTAGGACAGAAAAGGGCAACGGCCTTGACATATTATTGCATCACAAATCAATAAAAACACACGTGCACACACACACACACACACACACACACACACACACACACACGCGCGCGCGCGCGCCTTTTGCATGCTTGTCGTGCACACGCACCTCCATGCTTTAGAGTCCAAGGACTCCAAAGGGAAACAAACACATGCATGCACAATGGCATTGGACAGACATGCACACACAGGCACATTCAGCAACATACACATGAACGACGTGTGATTTATGGATGTCCCTCTCCTCAGGAAATCCTTCTGGGCTGTGGCCTTGTTCTTGTTGACTAACTATGGAGAGAGAGAGAGAGAGAGAGAGAGAGAGAGAGAGAGAGAGAGAGAGAGAGAGAGAGAGAGAGAGAGAGAGAGAGAGAGAGAGAGAGANAGAGAGAGAGAGAGAGAGAGAGAGAGAGAGAGAGAGAGAGAGAGAGAGAGAGAGAGAGAGAGAGAGAGAGAGAGAGAGAGAGAGAGAGACTGTCTTGCCAGATTTCTATTGAGTCAGTATTGAATGGTGAGGATACTGCACCATCCAAATGAATCATGAATGATCCATCACAATTAAAAAAGGGAGGCATGGCGTGCTCGCATTTAGTCAAGCAATCCAAGTGGCCTTCAGCATCAGATCAGACAAACTTCAGACGATGCGGACTACTTCCCTAGTGAGTCCGAGGTCGTGCATTCTCTATTGTACGGCATCTGAGTACGATGTACTATAGTCGCTATGGACTGATGGAGTTGGCAATTCTTTTTCTTGCCCTCTTCTTCTTCGTTGGGAGCCAGCAGTCAACGTCTCCCATCTTCACGTCTGCTTTCGCCACCATCCCCCAACCCATGCCTAAAAAAACGATATCGAACGGTAGGTCCTCTTCCATTACAAAGCTCAAAGAGTGCAAAACCCTCCACCCTCGTACACCTTTACTCCCTTGAGGTACTTCCCCATGCTCATCAGACTATGATTAGCCATTCTAGACACTACTGCCTCATCCAAGTCGTGAACTCCAATACATAAATGCAATTTTCTCACTGCCCTACAAGTCTACGGGAAACGTAACTTCTGCTGGACCCATTATCTATCATCCCACCTATTCTTATTCTACCAACATCTACATCTGCCATCACTAACTGCCATGATGTCTTTCGTAGCCCAGTGATGAGTTGCTAGGGTGGGTCGCGTACGTCGCATAGGTCGCACGGGTCACGTAGGTCAAGTAGGTCACGTAGAGTAGGTCGTCGATCACATAGGTTCCGTAGGTCACGTAGGGTGCATAGCTCACATAGGTTCTGTGGTCACATAGGTCATGTAAGTCGCATAGGTCTCGTAGGTCTTGCAGGTCGCATAGCGAAGTGCTGCACTTGGCGGCAGTTTGACCAAAAAAAAAAAAAAAAAAAAAAAAAATTCTACCAGAACTCAATGAACATTGGTACAGGGCCATCCATGCTATGATCTGCGTCATTTGCACGGCGGACGGCACAGATCGCAGTCCTATCAGACAAACTTCTGATCAGCCCACTTTCTCGGCCGTCCGTTCGCGTGAACAGCCCAGATTGTGGGCCGATAAGGCAACACTCTGATTGGGCCACGATCCACACTGTCCGTTCACACGAATGTCCCAGAATGCGGGCCAATCATTAACAAATCTGATCGCGCAGCGACATGCGCCGTTCCCAAAAAAACGGTTTTACGCCCGCCCTCAAAACCACAGTTGTGGCCTGCCATCTGAGCCAGCCATTCCTTATGACTATTAGCAGTTCCTGTAGTATTGTAGACAATGAATGAATGGAGAAGAATCAATGCCCGATTGATCCCCCTTACAGCCGGACATTCAAAGGACAAACACAACTACTCTCACATCCTCTCCTCTCATCTACCACCGTGCTCATTCTCCACGTGAAATCCATATCCAACCTGCACCGCTACATGCGCCTTCTCGATGCTTCGCCGACCAAGATGTGCGTGCACCATAGCCAAAGTGATTCTCCTTACCGGTTCCAACCTCTCCTTCCTCCTTCAACCTTTCTCTAACACCATAGCCCAGCGAGAAGTTCTTCTCCCTCTGCCACCATAGCCTACCTTCTTCCCCCGAATACAATGTACAGTCATTATACCTGTATTTAGGCTGAAAGCTACCCCAAATGCAGCTATAATGACCGTACGTTGTATTCGGGGGAAAAAGGTAGGGCTTCTCCAACATCTCCCTACTACCAGATAGCCATGGAGGTCTTCTCCTTCACCCTCCAGCTTCACCTTCACGCTCTCAAAGCTCCGCCAACCTCTTCCCCTGCGCCGAGCAGCAGCACGACTGCTTGGCAGGTGAATACGAGAGCCGCTCCACTCATTGCAAAGAATGATATAGTACTTCGGCTGCCCGGCCTCATGTCCCTCCTGCCCAGGCACTACCTGCATCTACTCGGCCTCCGTGTACTAGGCCCACTGACCGTTCCTGCTTTGGGCGGGGACATCCTTATAAGACTGATATGTACCCGTTGACCCTGAATGTAGACTTCTACCGACATACACTCAGGGCCTGGCTCATCATCATTACATACTGGAAATCTACCGGAACCTTCCAGGCCCAACCAACTTGCTGGAAAATCCCTACAGGGCCTCTAACAAATTCTATTTCTCTCCCCGATTGCTACTCTACCCCCATCACACCACTAACTTTCCGTCCTGTCCCTGTTCCTACCCATGTCACTACCTTGTCACTGTTCAAGTCACAGACACACGTCACGGCCAACAGAGTCCGCACAAAGCTTCGGATTGGAACCCCCTGGCTAAGGAGACAAGCACACGGCATACGTGCATCAGCCGCAGACCACACACATATTCCCAAAACACACCAAAACACGCTCAGACTCGGAGTTTTCAGCAATCAGATCAAGATTCAAAGCCAGAAACTCTCTCAGATAAAAGCAAATTTCTCAGACTGAAAAGTGCACAGGTCATTACAACGGGATTTTTGCATGCCAAGTGTCGGAGACGTAAGCATTGCAAACTGGGTTCATTACAAAAGGCTCTCTCAACAGTGTTTTTTTTCCCAAAGTATTGGCCACAACATATCCTTGGTGAGTTTACTTCCTTCCAAGACTCCCACAGATTAGCTTTCGAAAGGCGTTTCCCACATTATTAGCGGATTGCCGAGCCAACGAAGATCATCGGCATGCATGGGTCCGATCATCAGACATCATTGTGTTGTTTTCTGGTGATTAATTGTACTTTAAGCGGCTACAGACCGAACCATGCAAGAGTATGGAAACCAAGAAGGGGGGGGGGGGGG